TATTGAAGAAGTTGGATGTATTTAGTCTGGAGAAGAGATGACAGGGGATTGTGACAGCTCCCTCCAAGTATCTGAAGGGTCTTCGTGGAGAAAAAAGAATAGATTTCCCCTTTGCCACAAAAGGAATAAATAAGCAGGAGCGATGGGCCTAAGCTTCAGGGACAAATTCAAGTTGAGGCAAAGAAAAACTCCTAATGATTGCAATAATCCCAAAAGGGAACGGGCTGCCTAGGAAGGCATAGAAGGAGCCTTCTCATGGTAAGTCTCCAAGCAAAATCTGGACAAGCACTTTGTCACCTACATTGTAGAGGGGATTCCTGTCCGGGCTTAGGTAGAACTATGTGGCCTAGGTGTCCTCCACCCACTTTGAAATTCTATGATTCTAGCCCATGAAGGAATCTTCTCTATAACCTTGCTAACAGGGCACCTCTGCAGTCTTGGAAAACCTAAGTGACTGGGAAATGTCCTGGCTGTCAGAAACCCAACTACTGCTGCTGATTCACTGCCGATCAAGTTGGCAAAAGCCCTTGGAGCTCATAGAGAACAGAATCCCCCCAGTGAGCCTGAACATGGTCAGACAGAGGCAGGATAGTGCTGTGAATGAAAGAGCTGGTTTCAGAGCCCAGAAGACCTGCCTCAGGCACATCCTGGCTATGGGACCCTAGGCAATCTTCCTAACCTGTCAGTGTTGTAGGCGAATGCTGACCTCTGTTGGTAGAAGGAGCTGATGAAGTCACAGGTGCAGTCTTTATCCCTCTGATTAGGGAATGAGTCACCTGTCTTGCCACTAGTAGCTGATTCTGGATGTGGGGAGAGCAGTTCAGCTAGTTACAGTGTATCCTTTTTTTTTTCTCCTGAGACTAGCTTGGTCCTCATCTAAAAAATGGGGATAATAATGCTTGCCTTGCTTACCTCATTGGGTCGTCATAAGGAAACTGTTTTTGTCAACCTTAGAGTGACTATAAATGGACAGATTAGTCAGATCTGACAATGTCAGGAAGATAATCAAGCCTTCTCGATGGGGATACATTCAAGATATTTCTGTGTCCCAATTCCTTTATTTAAAACACGTGTCTTGACAAAAGCAAAAAAAAATGCCTTTGCTGGTTAAAAAAAAAATTGAACTCGTCCTTTTGAAGATGGGTCTCATCTGCCCATTCATTTGAGGACACAAACATATGGGGGAGAGAAGGACAACCCTTGCACACACAAGTATGAGGGAATGCACATGAGAGCGGGACAGGGACAGAGGGCAGGTGCTCTTTACATCCTTGTCTCTGATGATAAGAGAGAATGGGCTAAATTCAGCTTCAGGGAGAAGGTGAAGGAAGAAAAATGGAATCCATGCACCTGTCCATCTCCAGGGGTCTGCTCCTGCTGAGGCATGGCTCCCCTTTCCTCCCAACTTCCCTTCCTGAGGCAGGCATCCTCTCCGTGTCCCTTCCTGTCCCCAAGAAACACCCCTCCCAACATTCACCAACTGACTTTTCTGCCTCCTCTGCCTCCCCACCAGGTACTAACCAACATGGCTCATCTATAAAATACCTGGCCTGCCTGCTGACTCTAACCTCTCCTCTCTCCAGCCCCCTCAGGGGCTCTTGGGGGGCAGGGAGGTAAAGGGGAGGGGAGCTAAGGGGGCAGGGAGGGGATGCTACTAACTTGCTTCAACCTCACAGGCTGGCTGCCCAGTATGTCTGAAGAACCCTGACCAATGTCTGTCTCTTTCTCTTTCTCTCTCTCTCTCTCTCTCTTCTCTTTCCCCCCGCCTTCTGCCTCCCCCCACATTTCCTGGCCCTTCTCTCTTCTGAACTGTCAGAGCACCTTGGATTTGAATTAAAGGGTACGAAAACTCCATTATTGCTCAGACCCCATTCCCACTTGCCCACAGTTCCTGGCGTCATGTATGCTGAATTAATTTTTTTTCTTTCCAAAAGAAAAAAAAAGGGGGGATGATTCCAAAAATCAGCTACCCTACTTCTTAACCATGGGTTTGGGTGGGAGGAGGCTAGAAGGGGAAGGAAGTCCAACATCATCACCCTGATTAATTTTATGGAAAAGAAAGGTCCTCACCAGGGCATGTGTGTGCATGCATGTGTAGGGTATGTGTGTATGTGTATACATGTACACACTCCCAAGCAATCTATGATCCCCTTTGGGGTGCTGAGGGAGAACATACTTACCTTGGCCTTTTCCTCCTAGCATCTCCAAGGCCCTTATACCTAGTGAGGACAAGAAAGAAAAAGGTACTTGCTCTTGCTAAGCTTAGGGCCTCCACCCCACCTCAGTGCAAGAGGTGTGAAGCATCAGAGGCATACAAGGGGAGAGAGGCAATGCATTGGACTATTCCTAAGAGGAGGGCCACCCTCACCCTCCACCCTCACCCACCCTCTCCCTGGAGGAGGAAGCCCTGGCATGGCTCTCTGCAGCTAGGATTGGTCTCATAGTTCAGAGAAAGCTGTACAAATACAGACACTTTGGGAAGTGGTGTTTGGAATCCACGGAAGGTGGACATCCCCTTAAACTGGACTTTAATCTCCCTCTTTACTTCATTCCCTCTCACTTTCCCATTGCTTCTCATCCTGTGTCAGGTAACTGGCTGAATCATTCTGTCTCCTTCATCATTCCTCTGCCCTGATTCTATGAGATTCATCTCACTCAGTCATGGCTTTTTTGCCCTTGTGTTCTGTGTGCTAGTGTTTAGCAGCCATGTGGCCTGGGTTTGGGATGTTGACTAACGTCTGTCTAGCAATGATCCAGGAGGATCTGGTTCAGCCCAGTACCTAACCCCCTTCTCACCATTCACCCACTCTCCCTGCTGAGGTTAGGTCTGGATTTCTATACCCTGAGTGAATCCTTGGGTTGGACAGGACTTTGAAAAGTCATCTCATCTAGCTGAAAAACCTCTCTCCCCCAGGGAGAACCTGGTCTTGTGTCTAAGACTCACTTCACCCTAAGTGTCCAAGAAGTCAACACTGCAACCATTGAAAAAGATGCATATTTGGGATGGTTAATGTTTTTTATTAGAATGGGTTCATCAAAAGTAGTCATTTTGGTCCCAGAAGAGGTTCCTGTGAGCATAAAAAGGATCGCTTGGTAGCAGATAAGTGGAGATAGTCTTCCCCTGTTGCCATCCTCAAGCACACACAAATGTGGAGGTATAGGTGCTTTCATATATGTCCCTATCCATGTCAGTATATGTAGCCATATCTCCACTATAAGCTTAGCTCTGCGTACATTTGTATGTTGTATGTATGTATATGCATGTATGTCTGACCTTGTATGTGGGAACATTTCAATGAGGATCTGCCATTGTAGGTTTACTTCTACATATCTCTGTGTACATGAGACTTTCTGTGTGTGTTGGAATATCTCAGCATATCTGTGTGCCCAGACATAGGTTTGAATGCATATATGCACCACTGTACATATGTGTGTGTGTGTGTATGTGTGTATGTATATACACCACATGTTCTCCCATGAATGTCATGAGAGTTTGAAGGTTGAGCTTTGCTGTACTTTGGATCCATGATCTCTCCCAGAACTGGTTTTCTAGCCTAGAACTAGTGGAGAAACACGGGGGACCGAATCTTCCCTTCTTTTCCCTCAGCCTTCAGGGGGACCAGATGGGACATTTGATCCTAGAACTCCAGGTCCAGAATTTTCCACCCCACACAGCTGGTAGCCCTGTCTTCTTTTTCTTTTTCTTTCTTCCATCTAGGAATGTGTGCATACTTCATCTTGTGTGAGAGACAGTGGAAGGGTCAGATTTGAGTTCAGGTTTGAGCAGTCTGGGTAGGGAGAAGCTTAGAATCCAGGAAACATGGTTCTTCTGTATGAGGGCAGGAGTCATTGGGAACTCCACCTCATCAGGGCCCTGAATTAAGAGAGAAGGCTTGGTGTTCTGATCCCCAGTAGGCATGTCCTAGCTCAGTTCTTAGGGACTGATGGCAAGCTCCATGTCCACAATATCCACTGCACTAGAGGGGAAGCTCTAACTCCCACAGCCATGGACTAGGAGAGGGTGGGCCACGGTATATCAGGAGCCCTACTGAGGTCTTTGGGACTAAAGGGCTTACAGGCAGAACCCTTCCAGTCTGGCTCTCCTTTAGGGATTGTTGGCTTCTGCCTTAGTCCCTAAGGTTCTCCTCCTTTCTCAACCTCCTAGGGACCCTTCGCTCATCACTTGTACCCCACCCCTTTCATGTGATCAGAACAATATATAGTTGTTTGTTATCTGGGGAAGGAGGAGCTGACTAGGGGGTGAACCAGACTTCTTCTCCAGAGCTATAACCAAAGAGGGAAAACAGAATAGTCATGATTCCTGCTGGGAACAACTCCTAGGAGTAGAGGGTAGATTGTGGAGGGTCAAAAACCCAGAGGGTTTTGGTTGGTCTGGGTTGTGCCGCTATCTGAACTGTGATAGGGGGTCCAGATTGTAGATTTGGAAGCATCACTCCAGGCATCCTGATTAGCCCATGGCTTCTTCTGAGTCTATCCATGGTCATTGTCTCCATCTTCTTTTCTCTCATCCCCCTTACATCTCCTCCTCAGCTTCCTGGCTGCATCATCCCCTTTTTTCTCTGGACTGTTCTTCTTCCCCTTACCCCTCCTCATAAGTCAGGGTACTGGGGTCAAAAGAGGAGATGCTGGAATAGCTGAGCTTGAGGGTTGAGGGAGAGGGGCTGTGTCAGGCTGGTGGGGGGGCTACAGGAGTAGTGGTGTGAGGGGACATAAGAGAGTTGGGGGATACTTCCAGAGAGAAGGGAGGAGCATTGACAGGAGGCTAGAAGGGATCCAAGGAAGAGCAGAATCTCTGATAAAGAGCCCCGAGTTTGGGAGGTTTCTCCGGACATTGTCCGTGGCATCTCCCCAAGGCTGACCAGGGGCTCAGTGTGTCAGCTTCCCCTTGACTCCAGAAGTCAGTAGCTAGGGTCCTGATCTACTCATCCCCATCCCTCCCCCCACTCCTAGTAATTGGCCTCCCTCCTGCCCCCTTGCAGAAGCTGAGGAGCTCTACCAGAAGAGGGTCCTGACTATCACAGGAATCTGCGTGGCTCTGCTTGTTGTCGGCATCGTCTGCGTGGTGGCCTATTGCAAAACCAAGTGAGTGAGAGCCAAGCAGACAGATGTACAGATAGAGGTCTGAGGACTGACTGCCTTGGTGTGGTCCTTCCAGCAGAGCTACCTGCTGAGCAGAAGGAAATGGTCCCCCGAAAACTGAAGAAACACACACACACACACACCCATGTAGTCCCTGCTTCAGGTAGCCACTGCCAGGAACTATAACCCTGAGCAGGAGAGTAATCCTTTAAGGGCCCTGAATCTAGCTATGAGGAACTTCACATCCATCTACAGGACTCATCAGCACCAAAGCCACAGGCCCATATGAAGATTATCTCCATTTCATCCATTTAGATGGTCCCTGCCCTTTCTGTGCTAGCTAGGGATGGAGCGTAGAGTTTTCTAAGGCCATGAGTTCCCACATAGTGCTGCTGGCCCAGCTCACAGCTGTATTTTCCTGGGAGAGTTCTCTTCCTTTCCTTTAGGTCTCCTAGGCCCCTACTGTCCTGAAAGAAGAGAGGATAGTGACATAAGGAACAAGGTGGGGGAGGAGAAGGAGGAGGAAGGTTTCACAGGAGAAGACCAGGGTGGAGATTAGGGTTTGGACAGTTCCTGGTGCACTCTCCTAGCATAGAGTCCTAGCATTGTGATAGCAAGGGGAGAGAAAGATGAGTAAGACATAGTCAGTACTTTTAAGGACCTCATAATATAACTAGAGAAACAAGGCACAAACACATAGAAAGATAACAAACAATAAAAAGCATTATAAACTGTCAGAAAAGGAGGAGAGATAGATCACTGTGGACCCTAGAGTGGTCTAAGAAGTCTCCATGAAGGAGGTTGGAATTGAGATGGGCCTTGAAGGATAATAAGATTCAGATGGAGCATGATTCTGTGCCAATAAAACTTTTGGAGTGAGAAGGCATTCACCATGTTTGAGGAATAATAGAGCAATCAATTAGGGGTCCAGAGCCAAATTGTGCAGGGTCTTGGATGTCAGTTGTTTGGAAACTCTATACAGTGTTTGCTCAAAACTAAAAGTTTTGAGTAGAAGAATGATATGGGGGAAGTACTGTTTTAGGATAATTTGGCCTATCATTTTACATTTTCATGGGGGCACAGAGGACCTGATGGTGCATGTGACAGCCTTTTGGGGACCTATTGCCCTGGGCAGGAGAACATTCCTATAAGAACCTTGAGTCCAGCTGTTGCTCCCATGCCTTTCTGCAGGAGTCAGGTGGGAGAAGATGCCTAGAAGGGAAGGATGATAGAAATAAATTGTAGAAAAGTAACAATAGATTGTTAAAGCTAGAAAAGATTGAGGAAATTATGTAGTCCACCCCCCCTTCATTTTCTAGATGAGGAAACTGAGACCCAGAGAAAGGAAAGTTATTGTCCAAGGTCATGTAACTGGCTAGTGGCAGTTGGGACTAGAATTTCCACCCACCCTTAGCCCTGGTTCTCAGGCCTGGACTTTTCCTACTACACTACACTTCACGGAGAGGGAAAGTAAGAAGAAGCTAAGTTCTGTGTGAAATGACTTGTCCTTCCTCCTTACAGAAAACAGAGGAAACAGATGCACAACCACCTTCGGCAGAACATGTGCCCAGCCCATCAGAATCGGAGCTTGGCCAATGGACCTAGCCACCCCCGACTAGATCCTGAGGAGATTCAGATGGCAGATGTGAGTGGCGTGTGGGCTCCTCCTCTCTGTGCCCAGGAAGGTACCATTCACAAAGGCAGTCTTGTGTGGAACTGGGTCACTGGCATCCCCACAGCCACAAAGCAAGAAATGAGACTGGGAGATGTCAGTGATTTGGTGATGGGAGACCCAGGCTACTCAGTCCTTTGGAATGTTTATTGAGCGGGACTCTTGTTGGCACTTGAAGTCGGCTCTCTCCTTGCACAACTGCTAACGCAATTATTCTTCCAGAGGAGCTGTGCCTTTCCTATTTAAATTATTGTTTACTGTTTTTATTAATGTATTTATTAAATTATTATTTAAATTAAATTCCTCCTGCCCTGTAAAAAAAAAACACAGACATACCAACTAACACACCTTGGCACATAGTAGGCACTTCTAAAATACTTATTGACTTGAATTCATCGGAGTAGTCCCTCCTCCACTCTTGACTACCAGATCCAGATAAGTTCAGAGCAGCCAAATCAGGGTCCTGTTGTTCCTGGTTTCCTCAGTTCTCATGTTCCTCAGTTCATGTATCACCCATATGCCTTTCTCTCTCTGTTCCAGTACATCTCCAAAAATGTCCCTGCCACTGACCACGTCATCCGGAGGGAAACTGAGACCACATTCTCTGGGAGCCACTCCTGTTCGCCGTCCCATCACTGCTCCACAGCCACACCCACCTCCAGCCACAGGTGGGGATACCTGCTTCATGCCCCCTAAGGACTCCCAACTTCTCCCTAATAATTCATGATGGATTTGCCCAAGCCCTTCCTTGAAGAGGTTTCTCTTTCTAGCCCTGACTATAGGACTAAGGAAAGCACGTCCATAGGTTTATTCCTTGGCTGTATGTGTGTCTTCTTCGTCCCAAAACGTCATTCTTGAAGCATCAAAGCTTTCTTATTTGTTCTGGGCTCCGTGGCTTGGTGAACAAGACTGTGTTTTCCCTTCCTATTCCCTTCATGAAATTATGGACTAGAATTATATATCATCTCAGCCTTTCTCTTTCCAGACTTTTCATACACACAAATCTACACCTATACACATATACACAAAGGCACATACTCATTCTCATTCTGTCTCTGTCTGTTGATCTGTCAGTCTGTCTGTCTATCTCTCCCTTTCTCTCTCTCATATATGCATATACAACACTCATACTTTGAAAAATGAAAGAGATTTAACAGACAATAGCACTCTTCCTTGAGTCGCTCAGTATTAAGGACTCCTAGTCATTGGCACTGTGGCCAGAAAGAAGCAGCAGGCCTGGGGAGGAGGGTGAAAGAAGGGCGTAGCCAGATGTTGATGTGATGGAGCAGAGGAGACGGCACGAAAGGAACCAGCCACAACAGCATTGGTCAGTGCCCGTACTCTGAGAGGATGCGAAGGAGGGGGTGAGGGAGGAGATCTGCACACTCTGTTCCCATTGGCTCAGAGGTCATACATTAGTAGAGAAGGGTGATTGCTTTTGCTCAGTGTGTTTGTTGGATGTCGATGACATAAAAATTTGCATGCTGAAAACCTATTGGTTAAGTTGACATGACAGTCGTATTCAAATGCGTGAAGACTGTCTTATGTCCTTCAAGAAGGATTATTCACCTTGGGCCCCAGAGCACAGACTGAGGACCATTTAACCATAGGTTTAATATAAGAAAGAACTCCCTGACAATTAGTGTGAGGTATGTACTTGGCAGGGGTCCTATAGGAAAAATTCCTATTCATGAATATGAATGCATTAAACTAGATTATCTATGAAGCCTTGTTTGACTCTGAGATTCTAAGATTCACGGGGGGCAGTGAGTGTCGGATCAATTCGGCTGGATTGGTGACTCCGACGTGGAAGATAAGGTAGAAGAGATAGGTACACGTCATCTTGTCAAGGATCTTGAATGTCATGTAGACCAGTGGTGTCAAACTCAAATAGAAACAGGGACCACTACACCATACAGAAGTAGCCCTACAGGTGGGCACAGATTGACTTAGGAAACCACATGTCAACATGATCTATGTTCTATTGCGTTTTAATTTTATTTTGTTAATTATTTCCTGATTTGATTTTAGTCTGGTTGGGGCCACATTTGAGAGTATTAGTGTTATGGGCCACATGTGGTTGGTGGACCACATTTTAAACATCTTCGATAGAGGTAAAAGGAAGCCACTGAAGTTTGATTATCACTTTTCAATTGGTAAACCAAAGTATGGAATGGAAGGGGGAACTTTAGCCATGGTCCTATAGAATACCTAGAGTTGAGATAGAATGAGAAGTCCAGGTTCTAGAAGTAGAGAGCCCTTATTGGTGTTATTGATGGTAGGAAAACAGTACAACTCTGCCTCATTCAATTCAACAGATGTTTATTAAGCACTTAATTTAAAACTATTCACAAGGTATTCTGCTAGGGGCTGGGGTTACAGTGACAGAAACCAAGCAGTAACTGCCAACAAAGTTCCTATGTTCTACTCAGGGGAGGATACAGTGTTTATGTAGCTAAGTAAATTAAAGACAATTGGAATTGGGGGGAGGAGAAGAGATTCATGAAAGTCTTCATTTCACATAGGAAGTGACAGCTGAGCTGAGCCACAAAGGAAGTGAGAGAGTGAGAGGTGAAGATAGAAAAAGAAGTGATGAGTTTGGGGAACAACTGATAGGCTGGTTCAATTGGACACAGAGTGTGTGAAGGGAAATAACATGACCTGAGTCTGGGAAGGTTGGCAAAAACCAGAGTGGAGAAAAATTTAAATGGGAGAAGGTAATAAGCATTTATATAGTGCCTACTATGTGCCAGGCACTCTGCTAAACACTTTTTTTAGGAAAAAATAAACATCTCATTTGATCATCGCAACAACCTTGCAAAAGTCAAAGTTATTAATATCCTCATTTTATAGTTGAGGCAAACCAAGGTTAAGTAAGTTTTACCAGGTTGAGGACTTTGCATTTTATTCTAAGGAAATGAGAAACCACTGAAGTTTTTTAAGTAGAAGAGCAGCGTGGGAAAGCCTGGGTTTTAGAGAGATTAATTTGCCAGCTGTGTGGAAAATGGGTTGGAGAGGGGAGACAGTGGGATCCAGGAGACCAACTGAAAGACAGAAGAAGTCCAGGGGAGAGGTGAACAAAGACCTAAACTGGGCGAGTAGCCATGTGAGCGGAGAGAAAATAGGGGCAGTCCAAAAGATGCAGCGGAGAGAGGTTCAACAAGTCTTGACAACTGACTGGATGTGGGGGGATGAGGTAGAGTCGGGTTGTGAACCTGAGTAACTTGGAAAGATCAGGGTGGAGGAGGGTTGAGGTTGGGGGGAAAGATGATGAATTCTGTTTTGGACCTGCTGAATTTGAGATGCTGATGAAGATGTCCTGTTGACAACAGCTAGAAGACTGGAGTTCAGGAAAGAGACTAGAGCTGCTATCTAGATATGTAGATCATAGAGTCATCTATGGAGAGATGTTCATAGAAAGAAACTCTGGGAACTGGTTAAGATCATCAAGAGAGCAGAAGGAGACGAGGGCCCGAGATAGAGCCTTGCGATGTATCTGCTAAACAGGCAAGAAACTGTTGGTGACCCAGCAAAGGAGATTGGGAAGGAGAAGAACCAGGGCGAAATGGAAGCCAAGAGAGTAGAGAATAGGCCAGGGAAGGCTATTGAGAATCTAAAAAACCCTTCCTAAATTCTCTCTCCATCTTCACACCTTCATGTTACCTTAGGCACATAGATTTAGAACTGAAAAAGACCAACTCCCTCACTGTATATATAAGAAAACTTCAGCCCAGGGAATTTAAGTGACTTGCCTAAGGTCACACCAATAGTGTCAGAGGTGGGATTAAACCCAGATCTTCTGACTTCAAAGCCTATGTACTTCTCAACTGCCAACCTACCCTGTATTGATTTGCCTGTATATTGTATACATTTTCTCTCTCTCCAATAGGATGGAAGCTCTTTAAAGGAAAGGATGTTTTGGGTTTTTTCATTTGTTTGCTTGTTTTTTGTCTTTGTATTTTCAGTGCCTTGCATGGTTTATCATTTCATAGATGATGAATTTTAGCTGGACTTCCCCATCCATACCTTAAATGTCATCTATCGCTTTGCCTCCTCAGACATGAAAGCCACACATGGAGCTTGGAGCAGACAGAGAGCTTGACTTCGGATTCCCAGTCAGGTATCATGATGTCATCCGTGGGCACCAGCAAGTGTAACAGCCCAGCCTGCATTGAGGCTCGTGCCCGGCGTGAGGCAGCCTGCAACATGGAGGATGAAAGGAGGCCAGCCATGCCATACCATGATTCGGTGGACTCCCTCCGGGATTCACCACACAGTGAAAGGTCAGCCCTGCCTCCAACTAGTCTCTCACCCTTTATCCTGCCCTTCTTCATAGCTTTCTGGCCAAGGGTAACAGCTGCCTAAATAAACATAACAGCAAACCCTTATTTGTATCTGGTGTTTTAGCAAACAAGATCTCAATCAGTTTCACAGCACCTTGTGGGGTAAGTACCCCTGTGAGATAGGCAGATTGTCATCCTCATTTTACAACTGGGTATAATGAATCCCATAGAGGTTACATGATTTGCCTAAGGTTATGGAATAGGTTAGCACCGTGCTTCAGTTCTGAGATTTTCTGGTCAGAGCCTAGGGAACAGTAGGAGCAAGCCAAAAAGGAAGGTACACGGAGCGTGGTTGGGGGCACTGTGATTGCTGAGACAGAAGTATAGCAGAAAATGATCAGAGGGTCCTGCAAGTCCTGAAACTAATAGTTAAGGTCCCTTCCAGTTCTACAATTATGTGATTAGGAAATGGTGGTTTGGCTCTGTTACTTAAAAAATTCTCTTGAATCCCTGTGTAACATAGGAGAACAAGGAAACTATCCTTCCTTTTCCCTACTTGGCTCTTAGAGATTTGTATTTGAGACTTGCCATGGGCTTAATTAGCCTCCTGTCCTACCAGATGAGTCTGGTAACAGGTTCCTACCTGTCTAGGGGAAGGGTATGCACGGTGAGGCACTGGGAAAAGAAATGGATTTCCACTTTTGTGGGGTATGCATAAAGGTGAAATTCTGGGCATTGTGCTTTAAATGGGATTTTAGCAACCTGGAATATGTCCAGGCTCTGTGTCATGCCGTGGGCTCATAGCATGCTCCACCTCCCAGGGAGGACATGACACCTGGCTTCAAATGTTTAAATGAGGGATTAGAATTTTGAATGGTTCCAGACATTGGAACGAGGACCAGTGGGTGGAAATGACTGGAGTGGGAAGAGGGGGCAGGTTCAGGCTTCATGGGACAAGGAACTTTCTAATAACTACAGTTGTGCTAATGAGTTCTCCAGCAGTAGCTCTTGGGTATCTTATAGGACATTGGGTGGGGACTCAAAATAAATTACTTCTAAAAGTTCTTCCAGCTCTAAGGTGCTACTTTAAAGTAGGGGTATTTTCCCCAGGAGCCTCTTGTTTGGTGTACCCATCCTGCATCCTAGTTCATTTCTGCCTCTGTTCAGGGACCTCAGTATTGATCTAGGGAAGGGTTAGGTTGGCTCCTGAGGACGCCAGCTGCCTCTTGTCTCTCTTCCCAGGTATGTGTCAGCCCTCACCACACCTGCCCGCCTCTCGCCTGTCGACTTCCACTATTCCCTGGCCACGCAGGTGCCTACCTTCGAGATCACCTCACCCAACTCAGCCCATGCTGTCTCACTCCCCCCAGCTGCACCCATCAGCTTCCGTCTTGCTGAGCAGCAACCCCTCCTGCGGCACTCGCCCACCTCCGTGGCCCCTGCCTCTGACATGCAGCGTAGCTACGACAGCTACTACCCGCCCCGCCGGGGCTGCTCCCATGACAGCATGGGAAGTCTGCCCGCCAGCCCCTTCCGAATCACCGAGGACGATGAGTATGAGACTACACAGGAGTGTGCCCCCACCCTTGAACCGCCCAAGAGAACATCTACAGGTCATCGGCGGTGGAGGAAATCCAGACTGAACGGGCACATGGCCCAGCGGGCGCGGGCCGTCCGGGACTCCTTCTCACTCAGCAGTGCCTCCTACAGTGAATCAGATGAGGAGCTGGTGGCCGAGTGTACCCCTTTTCTCAGCATCCACACCTCGGACATGCTGGGCACGGACTCCCCTCCGCTGTACCAGCCAGTGGACAGCAGGACTTATTACTCCTTAGACAGACACAGCACCCAAGAGAGCAGACACAGCCGTATCACACACCCGCGGGGGAAACAAGACTCCGCTCCCCTCTAGGACCCTCTCTTTCTCCCCTTCCCCACCTCGTCCTCCTTCCTCCCTCCCCCCACCCCCGTCTCATTTCCTTCCTTCTGCTCCCAGTATCTTTAAGGAGAACAAAAACCACACACTTGGAAAGAAAAAAAAGAAATAAAAATATTTTTATTTTATATAAAAGGAAAAATATAACAAAATGTTTTATTTTCATTTTAGCAAAAGTTGTCTTATAATAGCTAATAGCAAAGACTTTTTTATAGGAAACTCTATTTATATGTAATATCTTGATTTACAGCTTCGGAAAAAAAAAGAAACAAAAAAAAAAGGAAAGATGGGCCAATTTTTTGACTATTTAATAGAAACCTATATGTGGTGCCTTTTTGCTGTACGCTAATATGGAGCTCCTGGAGAGAAGGCTGTGGCCACCTCCGCTGTCCAACAGGTTAGTGATTGGCTCTGGCCACCCCAAACCCACCATCTTGCCTCCTCTTTCCTTCCCCCTCCCACCAAGAGATGATACCCATCCCACTCCCAGATTGAAAAAAAAAAAAAAAAGAAAGGAGGAATAGGAACTAGCCACAGTGAAGACAGTCAGAGATGGGATTCCCAGGTGGTCTTACTTGCATCCTTCTCTGGAGCCAAATTTTAGCATGTGGAGAAGAGAAACTTTGGAGGGGGGAAAGCAATTGAACCCCTCCCCTCCTAGATAATGGGTGGGAAATTCTATGTCCTGTGGGATCCCTTCCCAGAAAATAAGAACTTGGGTCCTAAAGACTAGAAGAATAAAAGCTAACATGTCCATTTTTGAGACATTGAGAAGCTGGGTGTGGCAGGGTTAGGATACAGACTAGAGTCAAACTGGCCAAAGTGGAGGGCTTCCCCCCGTCCCTCTTCACCCCTGGCAGGGGTGGGCTTGGAAAGAGGATACCCCTCCCTACCCACGGTGTCCAGGGCCCAGGGGTTAGCCCAGCAATGCATCCTAGGTCAGGGAGAGCCAGAGCTGCGGTGGGATGAGGGGTACACCCACCTCCCCCCTGCCCCAGGGAGGTCTCTCCAGGGCTCCCCTCAGTTCTCTGCAGCACCTCGTTTACATGGTTCGCCTTTTCTCTTTTACGCCTGCATGTCCTGCATTTCAGATACTGTAGATTGGATGCATGGTGAGGCTGTGATTGAGAAGACACAATTGACAGTGTATTTGATTTTACCTTTTAGCAATAAAGTAACTAACCAATCCCTGTTCCCCCCTCCCCGCAGTCCCTTCTAGCCCCCAACCCATCCTTCCCACCTCTTCTCCCCTACAAAGAAATAATTGGGTCTGATCGAAAAAAAAAAAAATCAGCTAATTCCTCATAAAGTTATTGTAAAACAAACAAACATAAACCAAGGAGAAATCTGCCCCAGATTGTCTGAATGTCTGAACTCTTGACTGTTGAACACTTGAACTTTTTTATATTATAAATAAAAATCAAAATAACTCACCGGCCCAGTGTGTTTATCCAGTCTCCAGTTGGCAGGAGGTGATGGGGGAGGTTGGAGGGGAGGGAGGACTAGGATGAAGTGGGTTGGGTGCTAGGGTTAAGGAAGCACCCCAGTAGAGAAGCCACACGTGCGAGCCAACACACACACACACACACACACACACACACACACACACTCCAGGGGGCCAGAGAACACTCTCTGCTCCCCCCCACACACACACACCCCGACCCCTGCTTCCAGTGCCTGCCTTTGGCAACAGCCTCGGTGAGAAGGTATTTACAAGATGTCCCTTGCGGTGCTGAGGAACAAGGCCAATATGCTGACGCAGATCCCTCCACTTGTAACTTGGGCCCAGAGAGCATGGAATAGTTTCCAGGATGGATTGTAGGGGTAAGGATGAAGGGAGAGTCCCTGGCAAAAACGGGGAGGGATTGGGGGGGGGGGGTAATAGGATTGATACTGTGACATCCAAAGTCTTCCAGGGTTACTGCCACAGTCCGGACATACAAAGTGTCCTGCAGAGCAAATCTCCCTGCCAGGGACTACCTGTACTCTGACAACTATTGGTGACCCTACAATTTGTGGGTTGCCTCTGCTCCACCCCATCCCTATCCACCCCCCAGCACTCTCCCTGTCCTCCCTCCCCCTCCCCCAAGCATCTACAAGGACAAATTCCACTCTGCCACAGCTCTTGTTTCCTCGCCTGTGACTATGGGTGCAGAGGAACCAGATTTCTGCATCAGATTCAGCTCTCACTTTCCTCCAATGCACAGACATTAAGGTCACAAGGTATAACACAAAAAAACACTGAGCTGAAGCCAGGAGACCCTAGTATCGATTCTATCCCTGACCTATGTAAAATGACATCCTAACTCCCACCCAGTTCTAACATTCTAGGGAGTTCAAGAAACTCCCTAGGTTTTGCCAAGTTCTATACATTCCAGAGCATATGCACGTGATTGACCGATGGATCAACTTTCTTCATTTATAAAGGCCAGCTTGTATAATCTGGGCCCTCTCAATACAGGGAAGAAGGCAAGTGGAACAGCACTAGATTTAATTTTTTGGGAAGGCTGAGGAAAATGCTCCAATAACCACTCTAAAGGCAGTGAAATCCCTGGCATCTCTGTCTTCATCTGACCACTCCCCCTGTTTGAAAATATTTGGGTAGTAGCAGCTAAAGGTCAAGAAATCCCTACATGCCTTAGTTTGGACTTAGAGAAAATCCTTTGACCTCTGGGCCAATCAACTCAATAAGCTCTTTGGTCATTTTGTGATCCCATTTGTTAATCTTGCATTTGACATTTCTACTTGCTCTAAAAGAAACAAGTTCTTTTAGAAGCCATAATTTAACCTCAAATGACCAAGCTCCAAAATGACCCCATTTGGCTCTGAGGAATCTTGTTATGAACCCACTGATATCTTAACCTCATTTTGGTTCTCCTGTGACCTTTTGCTTTCTAGAAATTTGGAGGGCAGGAAGGGAAAACAAGGGAATGTACCAATTCGAACTCAAATATTTAATTCTTGATGAACCCACTTGGCCTCTCCACATTTGTATTTTCATTTGGCTTTTTGTTTTCTAGAATCACAGTGGGTAGTGAAGAAAAATTTAAGAAATGGCCAGTTTGACTTTTAAATATACTGTGTAACCCACAGATGACCTACATCCATTGATACCTCATCTTTTCACATTAACACCACAGTAGAAAGAGCACAGGCTTTGGAATCAGCCAACTTGGGGGTTCAAAAGTCCCACCTCAAACTCACTCTCTATTTGACCTTGGACAAGTTAGTTAGCCTCCTTGGGCCTCAGTTTCTTCATCTGTAAAATGAGGAGGTTGTACTAGAAGGCTTCTGGGATTCTTCCCCATTCTACATCTATGATATGCTATGATCCTTTTAGTCCATTCATGTGCTTAAATGCCCGCTTAGTTTGCTGGCAAGTTTTGAAGTTTATATTGAATGATGTATCCTTCATAGCAAAGATCTTTTAGGGAAATGGTACAGACATATAAGAACAAGAGATAGCCTAGGTCGTAGAACTAGATCTGAAAGGGACCTCAGAGACCGTCTTGTCCAACAACCTCATTTTATGAAGAAATCGTAACCCAGAGAGGTTGTGACTTGCCCCAGGTCCCACAGGTGGTAAGCATCAGAGGTGGGATTTGAACCCAGGGCCCTGTGACTCCAAAGTCAATGCTCACTCCCTGTACCACTGACTCCAAAATAACTCAACCATTTCTAGGGGTGGGATATGCAGAGGATTTGGTCAATATGGCATTTTTCTTGTGCACAGATCTCTCTACCCTTTCTTAATCATTGATGATAGTGCAACCACCACCATACTCACTCTTCAATTTTGTCTCAGTAAGGGAAACCAGTCTTTTCATGAACAGGGAGGCCTGAAAACTAGGAGCCTATGCCCTGTTCCTGTTAGTGTTGATAGAAAAGCTCTGGGAATAATAATAATAATAATAATAATGATAGCTATTATTTATATGGCGCTGCCCAAAGTGCTTTAACTCCATCTTCACAGCAACCCTGTGAGGGAGGCACTGTTATTCTTTCCATTTGACAGATGAGGAAAACCGAGGCATAGAGAGGTCAAATGATGTGTCCAGGGCCACACAGCTAGGAATTGTGGGAAGCTGGGGGAACTTCAGGCACCAGTTGTATCTCTCTGCTCCTCCTCTCTTCAATACCCAGGGCCTCCCAGGTCTTCCAGAGTGGTATCTCTGTCCGACTGCTTACCAAACTCCATGTTTCTTTCTCCCTGAATCGCTCAACATTCCTCCCACTCTCTGCTTATTTTTAGACTCTCTTGCCAGCCTGATGCGCCACTCCAGGGCACCCTTGAATATTTAAAATTGTCTCAAGGGTCAATCCACCAGCATGACCCCTCCCCCAACAAGGAGGTTACGGACAATATCCCATCTTCAAGGTCTCTTCCTCTCCCCGTGATTCCCTGCCTACAGCCCCAAGAGCTACCATTGGGCAGTATCTCTAGTTTGTCCAGCTGTCTGCTGAATATCTGCTGCTGCCCTGGGGGTGTCCTTAAACTGGACAATTTTAGAAACTGTCACTAACCCGAAGGCTCCCTAGGGCTGCCTACTGGCAGAGGTCACTGTTGTCCATGCTGATTTGTATGAGGAAATACATCTGTCCAGTTCATTGTCTTAACCCTCAGTAGATATGTGTGTTTGTACAGCATATCCCAATTGCATAGTACATTAAGGCAGTGAGGTGGTGCAGTACCTCAGTACCTTGTAATCAGGAAGACCAGAATTCAAATCCTGTCTCAAGATACTTCCTAGCTCTGTGGCCCTGAATAAGTCACTTAACCTCTCTGGGCCTCAAGTTTCTCATCTGTCAAATGGGGATAATAATAGCACCTCCCTCAGTGTTTTTATGAAGATCAATGCATTAACATGTGAAACATTTATTACCCTGGATGTTATTATATTATCTGCGCAACTTTACTATCAACACTTTTGCTCAGTCATTTTTCATTTGTGTCTGACTCTTCGTGAAAACCCTATTTGGGGTCTTCTTGGTAGAGATGCTGTAGTCGTTTGCCATTTCCTTTTCCAGCTCTTTTGACAGATGAGGAAACCGAGGCATACAGGGTTAAGTGACTTGCCCTGTCACACAGGTAGTGAGTGTCTGAGGCTGGATTTGAACTCAGGAAGATGA